GAGTGTCTGGAACTAAAATCGGACACTCGAGTAGGCGAACACCGCTGAGACCTCCACAGCCCTGGTCCGTTCGGTTCAAACTACCGAACGGCCCCTCGTTCGGTAGATAGAAAATACCGAACGAGGGGATTCAGGCGAACCCTCCCTAGCCTCTATAGCTAGAGGTTTTCGTGTATTTTATTCCCTTATGCCAGGACCGACCGCAGGGCCCATTCCCATGGAACCGAATTCGGCTATCTCAGTTCGTGCGGTCGGTCATTTTATTCCCTCCATACTTTTCCCGAACCCCTGGTCTGATCTGGGTGGTTTTTGGATATGTTGTTCTCCCAGATCAGGGCTACCAGGGGATGTAGGATTTAAAGAGGTACCCCTACGTTTAGGGGTACATCCAGAAACGGGGGGAATTGGTGTACTGGATAAGGGGATTATGATGCTGGCTGAGGGGGGGAGATGTGTGGGAGGTTACCAGGACAGGATTGGCTACTGTAATAATTACTGTAATCCCTCCCTTGCATGGGAGCATGCTTTATAAGGAGACTGTGATTAAAGGCTTGTCAGTTCTGCTCCTGAAACTGTGTGTCGTCCAGTTATTGGGATTGCTGTGGGGAGGTTGCTGTTATTTTACCTGCTGGAAACTTTGCCTATGGATTTATTATTTACTTGTTCCTGAGTCTCCCTTGGATTATAAGCGGAGACAACCTGGGGAATATTGCATCTCCGCTACACTACAGGTCTCATCTCTGTATCCTCAGGAGGTTGGTCAAGGAGGCTGTCTAGAGCACCCTCCTCCTGCATGAATGCAGCCTTTGATCCCAGCTCCATCCCATCATGCTCGGCCTGGCCTGGCATGGGGCGCTGTTCTTCTACTTGAGGCCCAGACTCCTGGCTTAGTTCATCTCTTTTGCCTGGTTTCCTCCCCAGGGGTATCCTCCGCTTGCTCGGCCTTGAGTGGCCACCTCTCAATGTCAGAAATGCTTTCCTCTGGGCTGTCTGGCAGTCTCCCTGTTCCCTTGGGGGTGTCCAGAGACGCAGTCATGGCCTCTCGCTGGATCATGACAGCCCCAGTATCAAACAGCCGGTCAGGCTTTAATTCCACGAATGTGTTCCCAGAGTCTGGCAGCTGTTCCAGGTAGTTAGTGCGCCCAGGCCTTGTAGCAGTAGTCTTTGCCAGCAGATCCAGTTCTATGGCTCCCGAACAATCCTTCAAAGTCTTTGTAGCAATACCAGATGTCTTTGAAATATTTAATTCAGCTGCGCCAATGTCACCTACTTTGTAGCTTTCGCCTTGGTCGGGCTTAGGTGTGGACGTGCCTATCTTATCACCACAGCTTGGTTCTGTAACTGTCGCTCTCTCTTGGCTTAGATCAGAAGCAGCTACTTTGCCTTTGTTATTTTGACTTCGTTTTGCCACTACTTCTCTGCCTTGCTTTTCTCTGCCAAACTGTTCAACAGCTGGTCGACATTCTTGGGTAGCCTCGGCTACTAAACAGTGCACCGCATTGCTATACTCAGCTGGGGTGCTTTGCTTCTCTCTATTAAGCTCAGCTCTTTTGTGGTTGTCTTCTCTGACTCCCCAAGTCAGTCTGCTTTTCATGCCTTTAACTTGTTCACTTGGGTGTACATCAGGGGCTCCTGCTTCGTTTGTCTTCCCCTGGCTGTATCCACTAGCTTTACTTACACCTTCTGGGTGGTTTTTGCTTACCACCAGCACTCGGTCTTGCATACATCTTTTTCTCATCCTTGACGTTTTCTTTAGGATGTTTCTGCATGCTTTAGTCTGATCACCTTTACACTGTGTATTTTTACTTGTCTCATTCGTTATAGCACAAACCGACTCGACACTGCTGGCCTCAGTCACAGTCTCTCTTTCTCCTTTCGTTACCTTGGGAAGATGTATCAGCACCTTTCTGTTTTCAAATGTCTTTCCAGGATTCTCTTGAAACATGCAAGATTCAGTTTCTGAGCGTGAAAATATTTTTGTTTCCAACTCTTTTCCCAAGACCTCTTTACCTGTTGTGATGCCACTTAGAGCAAGTTTGAGGCTTTCACGTGAAGCTGCAACGTTTTGATTCTCAAATAAACACTTGTCAACTTCAGTAATCCGTTTGCCTCGCTCTCCCTTCTGATACTTCTGCCCTTTCTTACTTTGGTGCATGTCATCAGTGTCACCATCAGAGTCTCTTGACAATTCCGTTTTTTTCTTTAGTTTTGCAGGTCTGTTTACTAACCTTTTTTCTTTTTGGTCCTTGGAGGATCCAGCTGCCTTTTCACCCTCTTCCACATTAGCACTACTTTCAGGCTCAATCTTATCCTTCTTGCCTTCTAATTCCTGTTCTCTCTCTTCTGTGTGTTTCTCAACATCATGCTTTGCTGCCCCCATGCTTTTCAGCTTGCTAAATACGTCTTCTACTGCCTCTGTCATCTTATGCAGGATGTCAGTAGCTTGGTTACGGAGTCCCTTGTCCCCACACACCCTGCCGGGGGCAATCTGCAAAACATCAGTAAGGGCAGCTCTATACTCCTGCTGAGCGTCCCTCAGGTTCTTAAGCTGTGCAGCCAGGAAATGGTTGGTGTCTTGTTGTATAGCAGTTGCCTCTTGTTGTACAGCGGTTGCCTGTACCAGAGCCTTCAGCAGGTCCTCCATTATAGCACCAAGCAGGTAACAGTCTTAAAGGTACAGTGCTACTTTTTTTTTTTTTTAAACAGGTCTGCAAAAATAAAAAGTCCTCAAGCAGACTACTGAATGACTGGCACACCCACAGACCCTCAATGTGCTACTATGCCCGCATTCTCCACCATATTGTGATCTTTGTCTGCAGGTAGCACGGTCCTCTTGGGCCCAAACATGCACAGTCTTTTAAGGCAACTTATTTCCAGTCACTTTATTGTTAAACTCCACAAAGACAGCAGCACATGAAAAACAAAAATGTAACAAAATCCTATAAACAAAAACCTAGCTCGGTCTGAGCACTAACTGACATCAAGTTCCCTCTCTCTCAAGGGTTTAATCTATAACAAAAAAAGTGGTTTCACCAACCTAGCGTCTTTTCCAGCTCTCAGCACTTCAGTGTTTCTGACAGCCTGCTGCTTCCCTTTCTACACTCCCAGTGCTCCAAGCCAGCCTTGACTGCTTCCCTTTTGCACTCCCAGTGCTCCAAGCCAGCCTTGACTGCTTCCCTTTTTCACTCCCAGTGCTCAGTCTCCTTGACTCTCTTACTGGAGAGAACAGCCTCACTCCTACCTGCTTCCAGGGAGGAAGCCAGCAATCCCTCTTCACCTGGCTAGCAGGGAGGGGTTTATTCCCACTGCTACAGCTGATTATCTGCAGCTGAGCAGTGGGTTGGAGACAGTTCCAAAAAACTCTTGCCTGCACCTGATTTCTCCCAGTTGTGTATAAACTGAGGAGTGGAGCATTGGCCCACCCTGCTCTCCAAATGCTCCATAACTAAACGGTGGTTTGTGTTGCCTACAACACTTACTACACATACTCCCCCTGGGGTTAAATGTTATAGGCCTATCTGCCTTCACTTGATCACAATATATATATATATATATATATATATATATATATATATATATATATATATATATATATATATATATATATAATTACTCAATCATCTGTCATGGCAAGACATAGCCTTACATATTACACGCGACAATATATGGCGCAGTGACTTATGGGGCTGGCACAACATTTTTTTCCAGGGCTGCTTTGTATCCCCAGTCCGGCCCTGATCGTATGTATGTTTTTACTGTAGTCTACTCTCAGGTCCAGGGGGGAGTGCCCCTTGCATGGGGACCTGTATATAAGGCCAGTTGTGGTTGCCAATAAATGCATTCCAGCCTGTACTCCCAGAACTATGTGTAGTCTGGTTACTGGGAGTGGAAAGGGCTGTTCTTTAATCACTGTTCCCGTGTGTAGGATTCAACGGGGAAAGTCCTTGTAGAGACTAGAGCTCCCTGGACTGAGTGTCGTCCAGTGTCTGGGGGTGTCTGGAGCGAATTCCCCATTCGGCTCCAGGAGGGAGCGGTTCCAGGACCCCAGTCAAGCCATGGAGACTGAGGGCAAGAGTGCTGAGGTTTGTCCCCTGTTCCAGCTAGGAAGCGGTCTTTGGCGGAGGTACCCAGCGATGGGTACAGGGAGCTCCTTTACATTGGCCAAGGTTAGACTTTAGGTTTCGATGTATTGGCCGAGGTTAGACTTTAGGTTTAGATGTATTGGCCGAGGTTAGACTTTAGGTTTAGATATATTGGCCGAGGTTAGACTTTAGGTTTAGATGTATTGGCCGAGGTTAGTGTTTAGGTTTAGATATATTGGCCGAGGTTAGACTTTAGGTTTAGATATATTGGCTGAGGTTTTTTGTTTTATTTTGGATCGTGGTGTTTAGTACTGTAACGTTTGTCCTAATGTTACACTTTTCCAGTCTCTTGTTAAAGCATCTTCTCTTGGATTGCTGATCACAGCTCCCTATTATGGTTATTTACTAAAGCAGGAATTATTGGAGAATGGGGAGAACTGACTTGTAGATTTAAATAGCTGAGCAAGTTAAATGATCTGGGTATATTTTGCCCATTGTTCAGTTACGTTTAGTGTCTCCAGCTGTTTGACATGCACAATACACCGTTTTAATGAAATGTTTGCATTCCCACAATAACTGCCAGTGGTTTCTCTTGATCTTTTCCCTTTTTAAATGGCTGTTGTTCTAAAATACATGATCTGAGCTGCCATGTAAAATCTGTCTGGGTGAAGGGTATTAGTTAAATTGTCATCCCGCCCAAAACATTGTGCTTACCTTTAGAGCCACTATTTCCCCAGCTCCATAACTACACCATGGCCCTAACAACCCCCATGCCCTAACAACCTCTAGCTTCAGAACTACCCCATCTCTATAACTACCCTATGGCCCTAGCTATCCCCAGCACCATAACTATCATACGTCCCTAACAACCTCCAGCTCCATAACTGCCCCAGAGCCCTAACAACCCCTAGCTCCATAACCACCCCGTTCCATAACTACCCCGCAGCCCTAACAACTTCCAGCTTCATAACTTTGCTCACAGCCCTAACTACCCCCAGCTCCACATCTTTCTCAGATAACTACCTCCAGCTCTATAACTACTCAACTCCATAGTTACATCCAAAGCCATAATTACCCCCAACAAGAATACTATATCCAGAGTTATAACCAAAGCCATAAATACCCCAACAAGAATGCTATAACCAAAGCCATAATTACCCCAATAAGAATGCTATATCCAGAGCTGTAACCAAAGCTATAAATACCCCAACAAGAATGCTATATCCAGAGCTATAACCAAAGCTATAATTACCCCAACAAGAATGCTATATCCAGAGTTATAACCAAAGCTATAATTACCCCAACAAGAATACTATATCCAGAGTTATAACCAAAGCCATAATTACCCCAACAAGAATGCTTTATCCAGAGTTATAACCAAAGCTATAATTACCCCAACAAGAATGCTATAACCAGAGTTATAACCAAAGCTATAATTACCCCAACAAGAATGCTATAACCAGAGTTATAACCAAAGCTATAATTACCCCAACAAGAATACTATATCCAGAGTTATAACCAAAGCTATAATTACCCCAACAAGAATACTATATCCAGAGTTATAACCAAAGCCATAATTACCCCAACAAGAATGCTTTATCCAGAGTTATAACCAAAGCTATAATTACCCCAACAAGAATGCTATAACCAGAGTTATAACCAAAGCTATAATTACCCCAACAAGAATGCTATATCCAGAGTTATAACCAAAGCCATAATTACCCCAACAAGAATATGTCAGGATTACAGTTTGATCCAGCACGTAGAACTGTACAGCACGGATGACAAATAAGTAACGTATTACCGGTCCTTAGAATGGCCGGATT